ACGGGGTTTCACCATGTTGACCAGGATGGTCTCGATCTCTTGACCTCGTGATCCACCCGCCTTGGCCTCCCAAAGTGCTGGGATTACAGGCTTGAGCCACCGCGCCCGGCCTCATCCCTGTTCTTTTAATCATAAATAACAAACTGGACTAAACATGGTCCTAAATGGACATAGGGTGATTATGTATGTGAATTATCTGTGAGAAATGCCTGTCTCTCCTCCCTCCCCTCCTCACCTAGCATGTGATTTATATATTCTTATTTTTCTTTGATTTTGTTTTTTCTAGAAACGAGGTCTCACTGTATTACCCAGTCTCAAACTCCTGAGCTCAAGGGATCCTCCCATCTCCACCTCCTAAAGTGCTGGGATTACAGGCATAACCTACCTGGACTGGCCTGTATATTCTTAGAGATTGTATTTTGATAATTCAAGGAGATAGAGATTGCATTTAGGGGGCAGGGAGGGAGGCGAGTATGGAACTTCCATGCCCTCCCTAGGCATGCCATCCTCCAGCAACCTCCACATGTTCAGCTATCTAGAGTGGCCTATTAGACGGAAAGAATATGGAAAGCTGTTAGGGGGCTATTGCACAGTGCTCAGGTCTATGCACACCTACCCTCAAAGCCCAAGGAAGCTAAGAGGCTGAAAAAGGAAGCTGACAAATTCAGTTTCTTAGACATATTTAATAAGAATTTATAAATGGAAACCATGTCTGTGTCTTGGGTGGTGGTGAGACCCAATGGTGGAGCCCCAGGACATTACCCCCTAACTCAGGACTTACCACAGGGAAGGAACCCATAGGACAATTGAAGTCTACCCTGTGGGGCAAGGCAAGAATACTTGGTGAATCTGCCTAAGGCCAGGATTTACGATCAAGATCATTTTGATCTAAGGAGAAATTATGGTAAGTACATGCTCTTACACAAGCAACAGTAGATAAAATACAAATCTTAGAGGCATTCCCAGAATTGGGCTAATCAGAAATCAACCTTCCGAGCACTTTGGGAGGCCAAAGCGGGAAGATCACTTGAGCCCAGAAGTTCAAGTCATGGCAACATGGCAAGAGACCCCAACTCTACAAAAAAATTTCAAAACTTAGCCAAGCATGGTGGCACCTGTGCCTCTGATCCCAGCTATTCAGGAGGAGGGAGGATGACTTGGCCCACTGAGGTGGGAGGATCACTTGGGCCCAGTAGGTCAAGGCTGCAGTGGGCCACATTTGTGCCACTGCACTCCAGCCTGGGCAACAGTGAAACCCTATCCCTAAAAAAATTATTTTAGCTGGGCACGGTGGCTCACACCTGTAATCCCAGCACTTTGGAAGGCCGAGGCAGGTAGATCATGAGGTCAAGAGTTCAAGACGAGCCTGGCCAAGATGGTGAAACCCCGTCTCTACTAAAAATACAAAAATTAGCCAGCATGGTGGCATATGCCTGTAATCTCAGCTACTCAGGAGGCTGAGGCAGGGAACTGCTTAAACCCGGAAGGTGGAAGATGCAATGAACCGAGATTGTACCATTGCACTCCAACCTGAGCGACAGAGTGAGACTCTGTCTAAAAAAAAAAAAAAAATTTTAAACAGCCTGGGCACAGTGGCTCACACCTGTAATCCTAACACTTTGGGAGGCCAAGGGATCACCCGAGGTCAGCACTTCAAGACCAGCCTGGCCAACATGGTGAAACCCCATCTCGACTAAAAATACAAAAATTAGCTAGGCATGGTTGCCGGCGCCTGTAATCCCAGCTACTTGTGAGGCTGAGGCAGGAGAATTGCTTGAACCTGAAGGCAGAGATTGCAG